GGGCTGGGGATTCGAACCCGCCACCTTAGGTGTAGGTGGCTGGCGCCTTAGCCAGTTGAGCTATAGGCGCTGAGCCGCTTTAGTGGAATTTAAAGGGGATCTGTAGGGCTGGAGTTCTATGTGGACGAGAAGGTGGTATGAGGTTGGGCAGGTGTGGGCCAGGCAAGGCCTGGAAGGCTGTGGGAAAAGCTGTAGGTACCGTCCTAGGGGTCATAGAAGAGTTTAAGCAGGAGAAGGATACAGTCACTTTCACACGTATTTGTAAAGAATCCCTCTGGCTGGGGTCCAGAGAGGCAGGACCTGTTCAGGATGGCACAGCCAGAGAGGGCTCCAGGCTGAGTTTGGGCCAAGATTCTGTGGCACTGCTCTGGGGCTGCCCTGCCCTCCCAGACACCTGCAGCCTCCTGCCCTCTGCTGATTTCATAAGTAACTGATTTGTAAGTCAAAAAGCCAGTATATTAATTATTAATTAGAAAGAGACTGCTCTGGCAACCCAAGTTCTTTGTCTGCCTTTTTTTTCCCCTCTGGGGGACCCAAATGTACCCTCAGAAGGTTGCATGGTGGGTCTGTAGTTTAAATGAAGGGGATGCTGTGGTTTCAAGAGTATTTTATCAGGGTCTGAGGGAGCTGACAGTGGGGCACCCATGCCATGGACCACAGCACTCCCACACCCACGGGCTTCTTAGTTCCTTCTTTGGGACTCTGTGGATTGGGTCATGGTCCCATCCCTTTTGTCACTGGGGACAGGCTCACTTGCTCAGGGACATGCCTTGTCTTCCTCATATCAGCTGTGCTATGGAGCCTTCTTGCTCTCAAGAAAGCATCCTTGACAGGCAGAATGACTACAGCTCATCCCATCGTTTTGTTTGTTGAAACCTTTTGAGAACAGCTGTCCATTTGATAGCCTTTCATTTGGGGCTCATCAAATGTAGCATACCAGACTGCTCTGCCCTTTCAAACCATTGGCCTTGCCAGGAAGGGGCTGGCTGCAGACTGGTCTGCAGATGTTCAGATGTAGCCCCATGCCTTCCTCCTCAGAAGGAAGCAACTTCCCCCATCCTATCCTTCTGCCTTAGCTTCCTGAAGAGCTGGGACTACAGGCGCCTGCCATAATGCTCAGCTAGTTTTTCTATTTTTAGTAGAGATGGGGTCTCACTCTTGCTCAGGCTGGTCTCGAACTCCTGAACTCTAGGGATGCAGCTATAGTGCTGGGATTACAGGCATGAGCCCCAGGCCCAGCCTAGGCAGCTCTATTTTAAACTAGAGTGTAGCACTTGGGCTCTGTACTTGGGTAGAACCGGTTTCAAGCCCTGGCTCCTGTTTAACTCTGGGATCCTCAGCAAGGTAGTTCACCTCAGGATCTCTGTTTGTGCATCTATGAAATGAATTTGGTGACAGTCATCTCTCCCTCCCGGGTGGGTAGTAAGGATGTTTAGCATGGTGCATTTTCCATAGTGGACATTCAGTGATACCAGCCAGGGTTACAGATGAAGCATCTGAGGCACAGGTGGAGAAGCAACACCCCACCAGGGTGGGGGCCAGGATGTCCACTTGATCCTATGCTTCCCTGTGAGAATCCTCCCTTGCCTTGATGCCCTGGCCTGGTCAGACCATCTTCAGACATGTCCTTTCACTGCTGGCCTTTGCTGGGAACTTATGTGCCATAGGGACCCTGGCAATTATTATAGCACAGTTTCTTCTGCAGGTAAGGAAACTGAGACCCAAGACAGGGCAGGGACTTACCCCAGACCCACCCCCTTGGCCAAGTGTCACAGCACTGGGGCTCTGTCTTTGCTCCCTGGTCTTTTTCCCTGAGACTTCCAGCTGAGACCATGGGCCAACGTCCTTACCCTTGTGGAATTATTTTTAGAAGGTTTCCAAAAGAGGTTCTGTCTTCACAAAGCCAGCATTTCAGAGTAGTAAGGGAGGTGTTGTGGAGGGAGGAGGGCTCAGCAAGGGTCACCCTGACACAAACTGTGTTACTAATGCTCTGGTTATTGATTTGTCCCAATAGGACATCAACCAGGAAGTCTATAATTTCCTGGCAACTGCAGGTGCCAAATATGGTGTGGGCTTCTGGAGGCCTGGATCTGGAATCATTCACCAGGTAAAGCAGGGCTCGGGGCCCAGGCTGCACAGAGGCAACCTGATGGCACCTCCCCAGCTTACGGGGTCAGGGACTGCAGGCTCAGGAGGGCTGAGGGGACTAGGTGGCATCTCAGTCAGCTCTTAGGCTCCTCCTCCTTTGTTTTAACTGAATCCTCACCTGTCAAGTTACATGTACTCACTCTCCAGGTAAGAAGTGAAAATAGTCCCAGGTAGTCAGCGTTTTGACGTGTTCCTCTCGCCACCTTGTGCGCGTGTCCTCCAGTACCCAAGTCCCATCTTCTGTGATGCAGAGCATTGTGTTATTTTCGTGCTGCTTGGTCAGACCTTGTCGCACAGACAGCTGACGAGTAGTGAGCACGCTGGTTCAGGTCCTGGACTGAGCACTGTAAAGATGTTAACTTCTTCAGTGCTCACCCTAACCCTGTGAGGAAGGTGCTGGTATGATCCACACCTGACAAATGAGGAAACGGAGGCACAGAGCTGTTACTGTCCTTGCCTACGGGGACCCAGCAGTGACTTGTGGAGCAGAATTTGGTGCCCTACCGTAGCACTCTGCAGCCTCTGTCACCCCAGGACCCTTCCCTGTGTCTGCCTGGAGCACTCGGCAGACTCTTCTTGGCCCCTTCATGGTATTCTTTTTTTTGGGGGTGGGGGGGAGACAGAGTTTCACCATGTCACCCATAGTAGAGTGCTGTGGCGTCATAGCTCAAACTCTTGGGCTTAAGTGATTCTTTTGCCTCAGCCTCCCAAGTAGCTGGGACTACAGGTGCCCGCCACAACGTTGGTCTATTTTTTGTTGTTGTTGTTTAGCAGGCTGGGGCTGGGTTCAAACCCACCGGCCCCAGTGCTTGTGGCCGGTGCCCTACCCACTGTGCTGCAGGTGCTGAGCTGCTTCATGGTATTCTATAGATGTAGGTACCATAGGTCACATGGCCGTGTCTTTTGGTTGATAGTTTTGTCTCTAGAAGTATAAATGTGTGTAGAGGGAGTGGGTGCTTTGCTTTCATCCAAGGTGACTGTTAAGGACTACCGATTAGATTTGTGTGTGTCTATTTACCATCCATCCTCTGTGTATGAAACTTACCGCTTTGCACCTTTCCAAGGTGACCCTTCTCCCCACCTCCATCATAGGCCTCACCACCCAGGCCTCCTTCAAGATGAGCTGAGTCAGGCTGTAATCTGACCCTGCATGGATTCCCAGCACTGCCCCACTCTGAAACCAGAGCCAGCACGGATCACTGCTCTGCCCTTTCAAACCACTAGCCTTGCCAGGAAGGGGCTGCCTGGGAAGGGCAGGTCTCATCAGCCTGCAGGGGCCAGAAAGCCTCTCTGAAGCAGGATTAGGGAGTCAGGTGGTCCCAGCCTTGGCCCTTTGTTATAAAGAACACCTCAGTCCTAGCCAGGTATGTTACTCATGCCTGTAATCTTAGTACTGTGGGAAGCTGAAGTGGGTGGATTGCTTGAGCTCAGGAGTTTGAGACCAGCCTGAGCAAGAGTGAGACCCTGTCTCTAAAAAAATAGCCAGGTAGTGGTGGGCACCGGTAGTCACAGCTTCTCGGGAGGCTAAGGCAAGTGGATCTCCTGAGGCCAAGAGTTTGAGGTTGCTATGATCTATGATGCCACAGCATTCTACCAAGGGCAACAAAATGAGACTTTATCTCAAAAAATACAGGAGCACCCCAATCCAGCTGTCAGTACAACATGCCTGGGGCTCTTTGGTAGCTTCTGAGCCAAAGTTTGGGGCTGAGAGTGACGGCAGCTCACACCTGTCACTGGCCACCTGCCAAGCATACAGCTTGATGTATTTGTTTCTTTAAAAAAAATCTGCAGGGACCATGTGATCACTGCACAGTTGTACTTTTCTCTCCCCTTTGATGTCAGGCTATCAGCAGTTTTACTACACATCGTATCTACAGCAACCCTGAGCCTTTCTCTCTGCCTCTAATGCCCTGTCCGCAGCTGGCCTGGCAAGTTGGTTTCCTCTGTGAAGCCTTCCTGCCCTCCCTGTGCCCAGCATTGGGGGTCCCTGCACATATGTCCCTGGTGTGTGCTTTCTCCACTGGACTGTGTCCTCTGTGGAGACAGGGACTGTGGCATGTTTATCCCTCTCTAGCTCTGTGCCTGGACCAGGTCAGTACGGAGTAGGTCCTTAGCGTACGTGTACTGTGTGCATAGATGGCTAAATTTCTAGTTTTATGTTATAGATGTTAGTCCAGCTAAAATACATTTCTTCCGACTGGGCACCTGTAGCTCAGTGGTTAGGGCTCCAGCCACATGCTCTGAGGCTGGTGGGTTCGAACCTGGTCCGGGCCTGCTAAAACAAAAAATAGCCAGGCGTTGTGGCGGGCGCCTGTAGTCCCAGCTACTAGGGAGGCTGAGGCAAGAGAATCACTTGAGCCCAAGAGTTTGAGGTTACTGTGAGCTCTGATACCGTGGTACTCTACCGAGGATGACAAAGTGAGACTCTGTCTTAATAAAAAAAAAATAAACAATATAGCCCGGCATTGTGGTGGGCGCCTGTAGTCCCAGCTACTTGGGAGGCTGAGGCAAGAGAATTGCTTAAACCCAAGAATTTGAGGTTGCTGTGAACTGTGATGCCATAGCAGTCTACCAAGGGCGACATAGTGAGACTCTGTCTCAAAAATAATAATAATAATAATAGGTGAATAAAATAAAATACATTTCTTCCCCACTCTCCCTCCCATCTACCCAACCATGTCCGTGACAGGTGAGGTCACTGTCACAGCCAGCTTCATTGTGTCATGTTCTGCAGTCCTCCAGTCTTTGATAGTAACCTCTCCCTTGTGGACATGGACCACATTTGTGCCTACACCATCTAGACCACCCCAGATTGTATGATTCTCGACATCCAGCCTTCATGGATCAGACTTTCATAACCTCAAGAAACTTTGGGGATTAACAAGTATGAAATCTTATACACGGCTGAGGCAATGAATGGAGGGCCAGAGAATGGAATTGTTAAGCAGCAATGGCCTGTTCTTCCCAGCCAGGTTTTCCCACTTTTTGTATCCTCAAGAGAAAGCCCCTTTGTGCCCTGCTGAACCTGCTGGGCGTATGCCTGGCTTGAGGCAGGGCCCTTGAGTCCAGGGAGCCTGCCCACCACTCAGGTGGCCCGACAGTTGATAGAGCCTTTCACATCCTCAGGTATCTTTGGTTCTTCCCAACGCCCATGGCTGGAAGCCTGATCTCCATCTGACAGTGAGCACTAGAACCTCAAATGAAGGGTCTTGCAATGAAATAATAAATGAAAACACTGCCTCTCCCAGGCACTGTGACCTGCTTAATTGACATGGTCTCATTTTGTCCCCACATCATGTGGGGCAGTGAGTACTCTGGTCAGGCATTTCTTTTTTTTTTTTGAGACAGAGCCTCAAGCTAAGCCCCTGGGTAGAGTGCCATGACTTCACTGCTCACAGCAACCTCCAACTCCTGGGCTCAAGCGAGTCTCCTGCCTCAGCCTCCCAAGTATCTGGGACCACAGGCGCCCACCACAACACCCGGCTATTTTTTGGTTGCAGCCATTATTGTTATTTGAAGGGCCTGGGCTGGATTCGAACCCGCCACCTTAGGTGTATGTGGCTGGCGCCTTAGCCGCTTGAGCCACAGGTGCCGAGCCTGGTCAGGCATTTCTTACTGAAGAGAACATTGAGGCTGGGAGAAGTAAAATGACTTACCCAGGGTCCCACAACCACTAGCTGGTGTAGGGCCAGGCCTCACACCCAGGGTTGTGTCAGCAGTGTCCTGTCACCTCAGTGTCAGCACCCTCTACAAATCCTGCTTTTCTTATCAAACGTTTTTTAGGGAAACGCTTAACCCCAGCTAGGAGGAGCACCTCTGTGAAGAGAATGCTGTGAAATAGGACAGGTGGTGACAGAAGTCACCGTCCTTCCTGGAGCAAGTCACTTCAGTTCTCAGGGGAACCCTCAGGAGCTGCGGCTGGGGGCATCGCCTTTGCTTTTCTTCTTTTTGTCCCAAGTGTGTGCAACACCTGTGCTTTCAACTGAAAACTCAGGACTCTGTGCTTCCCCTGGGTGCCCAGTACTACTGCCTTAGGTACTTCGTGGGGGCTGGAGCCAATTCGTGAGTGAATTGTCCACCCTGATGAGGGGCCAGGGCAGCGCCCTCCATACTGTGGGCAGTCTACCTATGAGCAGGCTCCAGGCCTGGTTTTTGCCACATCCTGGGCCATGATGGTGTGGGTGTTTTGATTACTGTGTTACAAATAAGGAAACTGAGGCATTTACAGGCTCACTCCTTGTAGTAGGACCTGTCCAGAGCCGTTCATGAGCTCAGGCCATCTGCCTCCCAAGACACCAGCTCTTTTCAGCCACTCTGGAGATGGCTTGAATGATGTAGGTCTCATCCTAGAGGAGTGGCTGGGCGTGACTGGGTAGCCAGTGTCCGTGGAGACAGTTTTACAGACCTCCATTTTCTGTTAGGGTCTTCTAAACTTAAGATCTTGGATTCTTTTTCAGATTATTCTGGAAAACTATGCATACCCTGGGGTTCTTCTAATTGGCACTGACTCCCACACCCCCAATGGTGGTGGCCTGGGGGGCATCTGCATTGGAGTTGGGGGTGCTGATGCAGTGGACGTCATGGCTGGGATCCCCTGGGAGCTAAAGTGCCCCAAGGTGAGGGGCAGGGTTAGGGGGTGGTTGGAGCAGATGACTCTGAGACTGGTGGTGCCAGAAGGGAAAAGGGAATAGGTGGGACTCAAATCTCTTTGGGAGGGAAGCAGAAATGGGAAAGCCAGCAGGTTGATTCTGCAATTTCCTGGGTGGGACACGGCACACAGGCCCTGTAATGGCCATCTCACTCTCCCTCCTCTGCAGGTGATTGGTGTGAAGCTGACGGGCTCCCTGTCTGGGTGGAGCTCTCCCAAAGATGTGATCCTGAAGGTGGCAGGCATCCTCACAGTGAAGGGCGGCACGGGTGCTATCGTGGAATACCACGGGCCTGGTGTTGACTCCATCTCCTGCACTGGTGAGAAAGGTGGCCATGTGATGTGGTCCTCACCCTGTGCTTGGCCTGATGGGACCTGCAGTTGAGCCATAGAAACAGTGAATGGCTTTCCCCTGAGAATCTGATCAGTCAGTTTGGGGACTTGGGATGGACACCTAGAGGTAGGGTTGATTGGAGTCAACCTTAGAGATTGTTACATGCCTCTCATCTAACAGAGGATATTGATACCCCACTCAAGGAGGCAGGTAACTCCCCTGTGGCCCCACAGAGTTAGGTGCCAAGCCAGCTTCTGTTGCTGGCCACAGCACTTAAGGCGGCATTGGGTGATCCTGAAGAATCCCAGAGAGGACAGAAGCCATGGCAGGACTGGGCAGTTAGAGCCAATACTTCATGCATGAAGGTGCTGCAGTCCCACATCTTCCCTGGGCTGGAGCTGGAGTCTTGCTCTCCTCCCTGGGTTAAAGGTTATTGCCTGTTATCTCCAGGACCAGGCAGGGGCTGGCCCCTTCATACCCATCACTTCTGGTGACCTGGCCTAATGCCTGGACCCTCAGAAATCCAGGGAGACTTGGAATAGTATTAAGAGATGATCCCAGTCCAGACTTCTGGGTGCCTGCTGCAACTCCAGAGCAGCCCCACAGAACTATTGTACCCCTCCAGTGATAGGCTCACTCTCTTCCCACCATGGCACAGGTGTCCTATAGCACGGGGTATCTGTGAGCTTCACCAGTCCTGTGTGATGCTTCATGGCACAGACAGCGGAGATCTTGTTTTCAGTTTTATTGCTGGAAAACCTGAAACCCAGAAAACTGTCCACATGGCACCATAGTGTGGCTGAAAGTGGGCAGGACATCGGGCAGGTAGATGCAGACCTGAATGTCTGCAGCTACATTTATTTGCTTTATGGCTTGACCTTGAACCTCTCTAAGTTAGTTCTCTCACTGGGAAATGGACACAGTAACAGCTGGGCAGCGTCTGGCTGGGTCACTCTTTAGTACACGGTGCCTGTCTGGTCTGCTCAGCGTGACAGCTGGGCCAGAGCAAGAGCATCTCTTGTCAGAGATGAATCTTGTGTCCTCTTCACTCTATCCACAGCCACTCTTAGTTGGGGCGATGCTGAATTCTGGGCCTTGTGGCTTCTCACTGGGCCTCAGGGATGCATCTGCCCGCTGTGATTAGGAGGCTCTGTGGGTGAAGGAAGAAGTGATACAGCCGCCTTGTGTGAAAATACAGGTGCTCATCCAGCAGGTGTGGGGCCCTCACCCTGCTGCCCAGGTAGCCCATGGGTTCTGTTTCTCCGCAGGCATGGCAACAATCTGCAACATGGGCGCAGAAATTGGGGCCACCACTTCGGTGTTCCCTTACAACCATAGGATGAAGAAGTACCTGAGCAAGACAGGCCGGGCAGGTAAGCTGGCAGGGCCGGCTCGTGTGGGTAGAACAATCAGGTTGCGCAGTTTTCCCCCGGAGAGAGCTGTACCTTTCTCTGTAGGGCAGAGGTCCTTCACCCTGCTGCTTGCAGTCTGGCTTCAGAGGTTCTGAGAAACCCCAAAAGATGTGGGTTATTATTTCTAAGTATGGTGTCTGCAGCTCTCTTCAGCTTCTGGCAGAGCTGAGCATCTGAGTTTGAGATAGCTCCCCCCTCGGGGTTGGGACTGGGAATATCATCCTTCTCCACCTGGTCCTTGCTGCCCTCTATAGGAAGCTCTGGAAATAACATGGATCTCTTGTGTTTATAATTCCTGCCATGTCAAGGGGTGGAAGAAAAAACATTTGGAGCAAGAACTGCCTTCTCACATTTCCCCAACAAAGTCCTTGAGGTTCTAGCTGGCTTCTTTGAAGCTCCGAAGGGGAGGTTGGGCATTAGAGTCTCTGAAGGGGGTGAGTGAGGATAATTGGGCAGAGCACCCGTTAGCCCCCAAGCTCTGAGCATTCCCAGAAGGCTCTTCCCTCACTTTCTTTATCAAAGGACTTATCCAGAGCCTTCTCAGCTCTGAGCCTTAGCCGATGCTTCTCTTGTCTGGCCTGTTGTATCATGTGATAACTTTTGGTTCACTGATAGGCTCTTTCACTAGCTTGGAGGTCCTCGAGGGCAGTGACAGTATTCTGAGCTATTCTCTTGGTTCCTTTGTTGGCTTGGCCAAGTCCGTGCCCAGGGCCTGGTGGTGGAAGGATGAGACCTCAGGACCAATTTCTGTTTCACATGCTTCAGTCTCCTCCTTGGTTGATTTCAGAGATTGCCCGTCTAGCTGATGAATTCAAGGATCACTTGGTGCCTGACCCTGGCTGCCATTATGACCAATTGATTGAAATCAATCTCAACGAGGTGAGGAAGGTGATTGGGTTCAAGGAACTTCTGAGAATGGGGACCTTGCTTTCTTGTCACTGGGGCCCAGCATGGTTCAGAAGCCCTGAGCAGGGCTTGTGGGCCTTTGGTTTCCCATCAGCCCTGCATACTGCTTCCTGAATCTAGCTGGAGTGGGGGGTGGGTTGGGGAGGAAGGAGATTCAGTCATGGGAAGAACAGAGGTGGTTGTGAATCCGAAACAGGTGTGAGCTTTAGCAGATGCCGAGATTTTATCCTGAAAGGTTTTCTTTGTTTTCACAACTGAAAATGCAAGGCCCAAGCAGGGTATGACAGTCTGAGACCTGCAGACAAGAGCAGGCATTTGGGGAGCCCAAGGAAAGGCAGGCTGGAGGAACAAAAGCCAGTCTGCAGGAGTTCAAATCCCAGCCCTGCTGCCTGTGCTGTGTGGCCTTGGTCACATCATTTCACCTCTGTGGGCTTTACTTCATCTTACAGAATCACTAGCATTTACTTTGTGATTACTGTGGGCCTGGATCTTTGCTAGATACTTCACATTTGTTCATGAGTATTATCACACATGAAGCATTTGGCTGTGAGTCCATTTTTGTCATAAGATTACAAAAGCGGGGCTCGGCGCCTATAGCTCAACCAGCTAAGGCGCCAGCCACGTACACCTAAGGTGGCGGGTTCGAATCCCCAGCCCGGACC